CGGAGTGGGGAAAGTGGAGACGGACGGCATGAGAGGCCGAAAGATAGCCAAGGAACGGCCGGGACATGAACCCGGTCCTTCTGATTGCCGGTCAGTTGTGCAACCACAACACCACCGAGGTAATTTGGGGCTCGTCCGTGTTGTAGGAGTTGTGATAACATTATATCTGTCTTTTGCTGAGCAAGCCAACACTGCTTGAACTTTATCAGCGTTTACTTGCCAACCTTTGAGCTCTGTGCAGGTGCCACGTCAGGAAATGCCTAATTAAGTTTTCTCCATGTAAAGTTCAAATTTTCATGAGCAAAAAATGGGCTGATTTCATTGTGCATGTCATCCCGTCTCTGAAAACCATCAGAAATATGGCAAGGCTAACGCAGCAACAAAGGGACGGGGCCATGAAAATGCTCCACGAGCGTGTGAAAATCAGTCCATTTTTCGTCCATGGAAATCCAAACTTCACATATGGCATGGAGAAAACCTAGTAGAACATTTTCCTGTCGCGGCACGTGCACAGCGCTCAAATGTTAGCGAGCACACGCTTATAATATTCAACCGGTGATGTTCAGCAAAATGAAATGCTATCACGACTCCTGCAACCCGAACGAGCTCTAAATTACCTGGTAACGTTTCTTTTGGACGCAAGTATACTTGCGGCAGGAGTGAAAAAAAGTGCGGAAACGCACCACAAAGCGACAATGTCATTTTCCTCACGAATTGAGCGATTGCGGGGGTTCGGAATTAATTTTCCCCATTCCGTGAGGGAAGAATGCCGGTGGAAGAAGCGGCGAAATGCCATCGGAATTTCTGCTAATGCAGATCCGCCTTCACCGATGAGGAAAAACAGCAAACGGGGGGAAGTCTCGTGGAAACGGAATGAGGAATTCCTCTAGCAAACGGAAAAAGATCAGAAAGCAAGGACAAGCTGACTTGAGGCCATGGGAATCGCCTGAGAAAACGTAAGGGATTATTCGTCTGTAAGAAGTGGCTAATAAAGAAGAGTCGGTCGGAGGTGAAGAGGCGGGAACCGGACCCCGGACCGGACTCCGGACGGAGTCCAACAAGGTCCGATTCTGTTTTTTCCTCTTCTGGCCGGGAGAAACCGGTCCGAGAGCCCACACGTCATCTTCTTGGTATTAGCCCCCTCGAGCGTCCAGTTTCTTCTCTCGGAAGCCAGAATTACAAGTCTTGGGTAAAATAAGGGTAAATATAAACGAATGCGTCGGTGTCCGGACTCCGTTGTTTACGGAACAGGCGGGAAACGCGTCCTTGGACCGGGCTGCCCCCGGGCAGCGCGGGCCGATCCCACGAGCCCCCAGCCCGAAACTGCGCTGCCCTCCTCGAAACTGCTCTGCCCTCCCGGAAACTGCGCTGCCCTCTCCGAAACTGCTTAGCTCTTCACGAGGAAGAATTGGTCTGCATGCAATCGGCGCTCAGAGTCTCCCCATCGCTTCCATCACTGAAAATCTTAATTAAAATTGATTTAGCCAACCTCAACCCCTACTTAGTCACCCCACCCCCACCCCACTTAGTCACCCCACCTCCACCCCACAACAACCTTAATGTTATGGGGTGGAGGTTAAGTGACTCCTCCCATCGACAAACTCCGTGGATTTCGCTCTTTCGAGGCCGTTCAATTTCGGAATCTGTTCGCCGCGACCGAGATCGGGGCACGATCGCGACAGACAAATTCCAATTCAAATTTGCAAATTTCCTCCACAAATTTCCTAAAAATCATAAAGCAGCTCCAATCATATTTTCTTTCATAATTTCGCATCGAAGATATGACGGATAGGATTGATGGGGCTTTTCGCATATTAAAAATTTGAGGGAAGAAAGTGACACATGAATACATTTGAGCAAACTCATCACAATCCCACGTAAAAAAAAAAAAAAAAACAGGCGGAAATGAGAATCACATTACACAGAAGACGAGACATGAAATGCTTGCCAAATGCCTCACGCCTTCGCGCGCGGTTTTACCGCTTTCTAGCCTTTCAAGGCGTGACCTCGAACGAAAAAATCAATTAAAGGTTTTTTGGACATTCCTTCCATCCCTCCCCTAAACTCATTTCGAAGAAATGTATGAGTTTGCCCCCTTCCCCCACCCCACCGCCCCCCCACCGCCCCCCCACCAATTCCCCTTAGGTTTCGTTAACCGTTCCAGCAGTGAGTTTCATTGGGATTATTTGTGAGCTGAAGTGGATTGACGACTTCAAGGGCTTTTTCGTTATTAGTGACGAAGACTCCGAATTCAGTTTTTGCTGCGATGCTCGTCGCGTTTTCGAGTTGAAGTTAAAATGCGACTAAGCGGTGAACCGATTTTTTTTTGCACTTTCAGTGCATAATTAAGGAGTAAAGAATAACTATTTGAAATATAAAAATGAAATGAAAATGAAAAAAAAAAAATCGATGTCTCTCTGCGGAATTCATAATGGAAAAAAAAACTTCGATGGCGCAGGAACGAGAGAAATTTTGCGTCTCTATTATCTTCGTGGGCGCAGAGATTTCGAGAGACGAGAGGAACCCATTCCTGGTCATGGCAATTGCCCGGAATCCGATATGATTGATTGACGGCTGGATGCGTGAATGTGCGCTTGGTATGCGGTCCTCATCTTTTCTTTTTCTTTTCCCCCGGGTAAAGGCGGCACGAATCGACAAATTGCGAGGGAAAGAGTGCCGGTTTTTTTTTTCGAGCATTCGGAAAAAGTCATTTGGGAAATTTCATTTGCGAAATTTTATTTGAAAAATAGGAAAAATGCGAAGTCGAGTTCTATTCTGTTATTTGCCGGGTCGCTCTTCGCAGTGATTCATGGAGATTTGCCATATCTCGAAATTAGCCATACCTCGAAATTAGCCATTGCATGCTTGGAATTGCAGAAGCCAAATGACGGAAATGACGGGTCCTGCTTTCAATTCGTCGCGTCAAGGTTGACGCCAGCGTAATTGACGAGGCGATAACACGGTTTATGGCTCACCCTCTCTTTCACGCCCATTTCCCACCCATCCGACAATCAAAAAGAACCGAAAAAAAAGGATAGAGCCTCCGCAAAACACCCGGGAAAAAAAAGGGTTCAGCGAACGCAAGGAATCCAAAAACGAAAGAAAAGAAAATCCTCATACCATAAGAAATACGTAGGAGCGCCAAGAAAATTTCCTCTCGCCACATTATCTGACGTCAGCCCGAAAGAAGCAATTCGACCTTGGATAAATGGGCTGGAGGGGAGAGAGGATCATTGACCGCCCCCTCCCCCCCTCCCCCTTCGACTGACCCCACCCCCACCGGCACTCCGGACGACCACTACCGAGCCTCCATCCCCTCGATGACGTCACAGGGTCTCAAAGGGAAGACACCGGGAGAGCCCCGCGCCCTATAAAGTGAGGAGGAGCCTCCGCATCCTTAGCAGTGCACGCACGGGACCCCTGCCTGTCACATCTCGACACTTCCGGTTTCAAGTGTGAACGGGCACTAATTCGACTCGTCTTCTTCCCTGGTGAGTGGTTGTCGCGTGAGCTTCACGCGATCGTGCGCCTCATCCGTGGTCATTTTCCATGGATTTTTTCCGGCTCTTTTTCCCTCGAAATTCTTCATAAACGTAAAGTAATCGAAAGAGTTTGAATTGATTTTGAAAGTTTCCGGATCTTTTTATGGAGTTGCACGAGTTCGTCCGCGCCCAGCGTTTTTTGCAGAGTCCGAAAGATCGAATCGTGCAGGCGACTCTGAATAATCTGGGCTGGATGAGAGTGCTCATTACATTCCAGACGTGTCATATTAATTTAGAATATTGCAGACTCTATTTACCTTGTGCGTGCGCAATGAATTTTATCTGATTGGCGTTTTTTTTTCTCACAAGATTCACGACACAGATTTGTATGAAATGAGAGAACAGCATCCCCACAAACGTCTCGAGCTTTTTTTTTTCTAGCGTGAATCTAATAGGCCTCTTTCGCAATTGAATGCAATTTTGGAAAATTTTTAAAGTATTCGGGGGATTGCTGTAACCTGGAAATATTTTTCGAAATTTTTGCGAGTAAGAACATTTTCCGATGCGAAATTTGTTCTCTTAATTCAAATGATTATTTCCGGAGAATTTTTGAAAAATCGGCACACGCAGTAAAAAAAAATGTGCTTCGAGAAACCAGGCTGCAATCAGCCGGTGTCCGCGAGGAATTTTCGCGGTCGCCTCACGAGGCCCATACCGTTTGTTAATCTTAGTTAAAATCTTAATTTTCTTAATAAAAAAGTGAAGTTCTAAAATATCGTTGAAAATAATAAATGAATAAAGATTTGCACATATACCTATCGCGAATATTTTTGACCGCGAAATTTTCCACGTTGAGGCATGTGATCGATGAGGCACGAGCCCAGAACGCGGTCGCCAATTTGAAGCAATCTTGAGAAATGCCGCTAAGAGTCGCATCTCGACCGATGCGATCCGCGCGTCCAAGTCTCCGGGTTTACCAGCTTCGAACAACCGACATGCAACGGATCATTCGAATCCAACGGGATCCGATTGTAAATCCGAGGAGAATACATACATATATATATATATAAGTCAATCACCTGTTCGCTTCCTCCTCGGACCGGTTTTGTCACTGTCACACACGCCCTTTCGGACATTATGGGATGAGGCCATGGGTCAAAGAACCCTCATCGGACTCCTATTTTCGGGGTTTCCAACATAATATTCCCCGCTTTCGGTTTCCCGTAATTGGGGGCAGTTGCTGAACGGTTCACTAATTCCTATTTACATGCGTTTTCTATGGGTTTTACCATGGCTCAGGTTCGCTCACGTGTTCTTCACTTGCCCGAAGACGAATGGCTTATTCCTGCTGGAGAATACAATGGGGCCATTTCTTCCCTTTTTTTCCTGTTTATTTTTTGTTTTTATTTTTTTCCATTTTCCTATCTATGGCACCTGCCACCCGTCGAGTTCGGAACGGTACCGGAGCGGTACCGACGCGGTACTTCCTCCTTCCTCGCGGCACGCAGCCCGAGACGGATGACTGACGCGAGACAAGAGTCGAATGACTGCGGGATCTATAACCCATTAGATTTGGAATTCCAGCGGAGAAGACGGATGTCTCGCCGGAACATGAACTCGTCAGTCTCGGGGCTCGCACGCCGCTCGGTATGACGGCAACGACGGCATCCCCCTTTCGGAAGGTTCCCGTCGAAAATACGGGCAGTACGTCTCGGTATGGAACTCAGGAGAAAAGGGTTAAGGCACAATGGGGGGGCCCCATCGTGACGGAGTGGGAGGAATTTCCTCTTCCTTTGAAGATCGTGTCCCTCGGGGGTTTCGCCTTGACATTGGACTCGTGATGAAATCGCGTTTCGTCATCCATCGCTTGCTTATCTCGTCCGTTCGAGCTCATCTTCGACTTTGGATGAGATAAGACGAGACCCTTTCAAGGACTCGGAAGATGACATCAGAGGAAGTGTTCCTCGTATTAAAATCGATCCCTGCTGGGTTTCGCGTGGTCGACGAAACCGTGAACTCGTCCGACCGAGTCATCAGTCAAAAGCGGCGATCCGAACTTCTCCTGTCGCCCGTGCATGACGCTATTTTTTTTTTTAATTGATGTTGCAAATAATATCTCGAATGAAATAAAGATGTTAA